ATGTTATGCTTTGCTCTCTGAGCAGACACCTTCTTACCGGATCCTGGATGAACTAATTGTTTCCTGCTGCAAAGGATATCTTCATTTATTTTTCCCCACCTAGTCTAGGTTGGCAGTGACTGAAAGAGGAAGTTCTTGAAGCCCATCCTCCAGCCCCTTGCTGGAGAAGAGATTGTGTCAGTCACAGGCAGAAGTCGGCACAAACAAAGGGCTGTTTGTACAGCATCTCCCAGCATCCCTCCCTCTCCTCATCCCTCCCAGCTCTGCTCTCTCTGGTACATCTAAAAAGATACAGCTGCCAAGAGAGTGGAAGGGTGTGAAGCAGAAGAGAAAGGTATGTCTTGCTTCTGAAATTGTCCTTGTGCACTTGTTTTGGTGGTGCTAGTTACAGAGTACAGAAATAGAAATATATATGGGAACATGCAGGAGAAGATTTGGGAGGTGCAGAGACGTAGGCAAGTGCTATTCAGCACAGATGCATGGATAAGATACAACTCAAGATAATTCTTTCACTATTTTGCTCTTCTTCAAAGTTAGATGCTACATATTAACATCTGAAGTCATTAAACACATTACATTGCCTTCCGGTATTCAATATTATTGCAAAATTGGTGAATATGGAGAGAGCTGTGTTCACAATGAATTGCTGTCTTTAAAAACCAGCTAAATGGGTTTTAATAAGATAAGAGTGATGGTATTGATGGTAATTACAAAGCAGTAATTCACTGAATTCATCTTCAGTGGACTAGCTGCCATCTTTACAATGCACCAACTGTTCAAGCAAAATAGATTTGAAGGATTTTTTTAATGGAAAAAACTTCTTCATAGTGTTATCAGTTATGGATATCTTGTGTAATGATTTCTTTCAAATTCACTAGTAAACCTAACTATTATACACCAAAATATTAAATGCTTAGCTCAGCATTTTTCAGGTGTTCCTGTAACGGATATTTGACAAACAAACAATAAATGACATTTTGTTCTGAATATGTATCTTTAGCTCTTGAACACAAAGCACATTACGATGCAAATATATATTAAATTTCCTTCACTCTAAGCGCAACTTGTTAACACAGTCCATGCCACCGGACTGATAGGAAAAGATCATACACCCAAAACGTGTCAGTTAATGTATTATGTTTTCAACATTAGGTAACTGCAGATGCAGACTGCTTAATAATTTTGAAAGGTATATTTAAGAGCTGATAAACCAAATTGTAAATATTTAATCTTTTCCCAAATACACAGTCTGGAGGTGCTGAAACGCACATTTATCTCCATGTCTCAGTTTTCCTTGTTTCTATGCCCTATTTCTAACACCTGAACTCCTACTAATATCATAAGGCCTCTAAAGTGCATCACTTCTCAAGAAATATTATCCTGTTGCTCTTGGCCAAGGAGGCTGAATCTTGTTTTTTTTTCCTCTTTGGTCTTTTCTGACTACCTCCACATCTAGCAGATCCGAAGACTACATGGTGCCAAATTGCCTGGCAGGATAATGCAAGCACTCTCAGCAGAACGAGCTGGGATAGCACCGATTCCTGACCCACTGCAAACCTTCCCAAACAAACCAGTTTCCTTTACACAAAACTCCAAATTATTTCAAAGCACTTGTGTTCCTGGATGCACTTGGTAATCAAAGTAATTAATTGAAAAGAATTTATGCAAATCTAGGGAGCTTGTTTTAAATATTTTTAGAGGGCTTTACTCCTGCTTGAATTTGAGATGATATAATCTCAATAGAATAAACTGGCCAGGCTTAGCATGATTGGCATTTTTACCTTTCCAGAAGGTTTTATAAAATAAAGAAATGTAAGCGAGAGCTTGCTGGCAAATGAGCCACTGAGTCACCTTAGTGATTACACTTGTTCATCACATTTCCCTGATTTGTTTCATAAGAAAAGACTGTTTCTGTGGTATGCAAAATCAGATAAGGTCTTTGACATGCATTTTGAAATAAATATGCATGTACTAGCTCTGTTCTTTACCTAGGCAGGCAGTGACACTCCATCATCTGTGCAACCCCATTCGGGAAAAGAAGTTTCAGCAGTTTGTCAGAATAAGATGCTGCATCTGAAAGGTCTGCCAGGTTTATCAGCATCGACCCTGTGATTCTGCACAGGGAGCTGATGAAGCGCTTCAGGTCCTTGGCAATCATTCATCTGCAAACAAGACTCTCCCACAGGAAAGGAATTACTTCAGAAGAAAGGTCTTCTGACTAAGTTTCCTTTCAGTTATCTGAAACAAAACAAAACACAGAGGACATATTTAAGCAGAAATAAAACTATAATACAATAAATAATGTTTTTTTCTGAATAATAACAATGCTGAGCATTGGTAAGATGCATAAATGACCTGATAGTGAAGCTGTCTACCCATAGCCCAATGGCAAAATGACTTTGCTAATACTGATTTAATTAGTTATCCTTATAAAACCTCTTGACCAGTACACTATAGCAATATCTTGTTCTATTCTAAGGCAAGTCGTAAGTTATCTTACACTGGAGGTCATAATTTTTGAATCCAACAATGTGACAGTCTATAGAAAATCTGGATGTTTTCAGGACCGAATGAGTTTCTATGAATTTTGAGCAGACAGGCAGCTGGCAACAGATTCAAACGAGCAATCCAGCTGGACT